GTGACCCCCGTCTCTTTCTGTCGGGGATTATAAATACTTAGGGATGCACTTGGAAAATAAACTGGACTGGACATAAAACACAAATGCCCTCTGCAGGAAGTGCCAAAGAGATCTCTATTTTCTGAGGTGGCTGAGGTCCTTTAACATCTGCGGTGATGCAATGACAACAATGCTGATGTTTTATGAGTATGTGGGGGCCAGTGCCATCCTTTATGCTGCTGCGTGCTGGGGGGAGCAGACTGAAGGTGAAGAACGCCAACAGACTTAACAAATTCAACTGCAAGGCCAGTCACATTGTTGGAGAGGAGCTTGACTCTTATTGCAGTGTAAAAAGAGAAAAAATCTGGCCTGGATAAAATCCATGCTCGACAATTCTGCACATCCTCTTCATGATGTGCTGGTCACCCACAGAACCACCTAGAGTCAGAGACTCATTTCATCACACTGCACCACAGAAGGCCTGCCTGTGGTCATCAAACTGCACAATTTATCTCTCTGAGAGTCATTTAATTGCATTACTTATTATTTATTTCATTACTTCACTATGTGCAATAACACTGTCATGTGCAATAATTGAAATTTGGTACTGAGCAGCATTGTAAATAATGTCGATTATATTGTGATCCTTATCTTATTGTATTCTTAAAGCTTATTTATACTTACAATCTTGTGTTTCTCTCTTTTGTAAAGAAAATATATATATATTTTTTAATGAGACAGTAATGATGTAACAACTGCCTCATGCCTTTCTTTGATGTATTTCAAGGCTACCCCTGCCCCTGTTTCACCCTCAGTACACCAGAATCACCTGCGTATGTTTTTTTTTCCATATGTAGATTTAAAATCAACTGTTGTTTAAAATTGGAAAACTAAATGGAAAACACTATAAAATAAAAACTATTCAAACTAATAAAAAAAAAAATTCCACTACAAAATGTCCAACTTCCTAAGTTCAGTTCCAACAGAAACGCATCTCTAGCTTGATTAGTATAGTCTAAATGCGCTTTTACCTATTGGCCACCAGAGAGCGCTGTCGCTCATCACAAAAGGAGGTCTTTGAAAACTGCGCATTGAATGCTGCATTAACTGAGCAAAAAAAGAGTTAAATAATTCTATTTTTATCAATATTTTTACACTTTTTTTTTCTAAAACACAAAGGTGTCAAAAGTGCTTGCATTCTTTTTTTAAGTAAAAAAAAAATGTTAAAGTAGAAGTACAGTTTAACAGGTATATCTACATTGTACTTAAGTAATTCAAAAGTAATTCAAGTAAAGATTTAACCTTAAAAATACACAATAGCCTCTTCACTGCAGACTTCTCCATCAGCTCCCAACACTGCCCCCTTCAGAAGTTCTCGAATGGCTCTGCCATAGTTGGCCTCATCATAGATAAGGATGACTCAGAGTACAGACACTGGACTCAGGACTTTTTGGACTGGTACCAGCAGAACCACCTTCTGATCAACCCAGAGAAAACCAAGGAGCTGATGGTGCACTTTCGCCCACTGACACCGGTGGACATCCAGGGAGCAGAAATTGAGATAGTGACCTCTTATAAATACCTGGGTGTTCATCTAAACAGTAAACTGGACTGGACTCATAACACTGAGGCTCTCTAAAAGAAGGGTCAGAGGCTCTTCCTGCTGAGGAGACTGAGGTCTTGAACCCATGCATGAAGCTCTTGCTGAACTGGAGAGCTCCTTCAGACTGCTACACCTTAGATGTCCAAAGGAGCGTTATCGCAGATCCTTCTTCCCCTGACTTTATAACCATCACCGCTCCCTAAAAACTTAAAAGGTATTAGATTCAAGATTATTTTTGTCACTTTAAATAACATACTGTTTACATTTTACATATCTTTACCGTTTCTGCTGTTTCTATACCTACTTACTTAATTTATTTGTTGTTTATCCTTCTTTTACTGACTACACATTTATTTTCAAAAATTATTTCTGTTTTTTTGCACAGTATTCATACTTTTATTTCTAATATTTTCAATTTACTATGTTTTTTTATTGTTTTATAGACACTTTTTAATACCTGTGTGACCGTTTTATATTGCCTGTATCTTTGCTGCTGTTAAAACTAAACTTCCCCATTTTGGGACAATAAAGGGATTTTCTATTCTATTCTAAATTATTTTCTCTCTGTTTTTTTTCTAAATGCATAGAGTCAACACAAAATGGAAAGAGCAGAAGGTACAGACTTTTGTGTTCAAAACTCCTCAGAAAATTACGTATGCAAGTAAAGTACAGATACTGGAAAAAAAAAAAAAAACAACTAAGTATTTCTACTTAATCATTTATACTTCATTACTTGACCCCTCTGCAAGGCACACACCTCTAAAGATTGAAGTCATAGAGCTACATAAATTAATAGGTGTTGATGGAAAGCATGAAAGGAGCAGATTTGATTATCTTACTTTGTAAGATTATAGAGCATCACACCGCTGAGTTACTTGTTTCATGATAGCTTGACACACCTGTTTATCATTACAGAATATCGATCTGCAAAGCTTTACAATCAAGACGCATCCTTTAAATAGTTAACATTAAATCAGATTTATTAAGGGAATTAATTTTTACAGATATACCTTATCTATTGAAAAAAAAGAGTTCCAATTTTAAAGAATTATTTTTATTGAAAATAGTTTGTTTTGTAGTTAGATTATGATAGACAACAACTCTATTTCTGCAAAGGTTTATGACAGCGAATCCCAAAACAAGACATCCCACAAATCTTTTGGAATAGAGAATAAATATATATCTTTCAACAATTTTTTAATGCAAAATGATTTTTATTGGAACATATAGGAAACTACAAAATTACCCTTTTTTAATATCACTGCAAGTCAAAGTACTGAAGAATTTCAGTACAGTCTTAGTCTATTTTATTAAGACCTAATGTTGAAAAAAAACACCGATTGCAGACCCCTGCATTTGGCCGTACCACTGCATCTGCTCTGATGTCAGCCTTCTCTACAGGGGAAAGAGCAGATATGAGACGATGCTTTCAATGCCACTAAGATCAGATATGTAAATGTAGTCCTTACTGCTCTCACAAACGTCAGTCTCTGCAGGGGGTGGCTGCTGATTATACAGACGTGCAAGTGCGAGGTTGCTCTTCAGCGTGAGCAAAGTTAGAGCGGGGGCATTCACAGTGGTTTTAGGAGGGAGTCCTGTGATGTCAAGTGCTTTTGCGGGGCGTGGGAGGGGGTGTGTGCAGAGCTGTTGCATTAGATTCTCCACAGTTAAAATGACAGAGGTTGCTTGTGTCATCCCCCGCTGTAGGTGCATGAAGCTGAGACCGTAGTTAGGCTGTGGCCTGATGGTGTCAGGGATCCCGGGCCACAGGTGGGAATCCTAAGTGTCAACCCTCCTGTTGACGCTGAATGTGGGTAGATGCTGAAGCTGATGTTTGTACTCTATGGGTATGGCAGTTTGTGCTTTGATGTTCTAACCTTTTGTGCTTTGATAAGATCAGGGGTCAAAAAAAATTGTCAACTCTCTGTGGCACTGCAGAGAAGAGGGACACAATCATAAACCATACAAACATGGATAAAACACAATCACCCAGCAACCATAAGAAGAAGTTAAGTCTAAACCATGATGTTTATCCTTAGGTTATGACCAAGCTTCCTGTTAACTTGCCTTTTTCAGTTGGGATTTACAACTTTGTCCAACTTCCAGCCATCTAGCTATTGATTTGAAGTAAAGTTAATGATTTAGAGGTAGGTATTTTTTTATTGTTCAATCCACTTTGTGCAAAGCTACAGTAACACCTGCATCAAAGTAACCCAATAGCACGACGCTCCAATTCCTTTGCTCTGGGAGTGATGCTGATGACCGGTGATCTTAAAACTTGCTTCCTGACATTGTTGTCTCTTCTGATCTAATTAAAAAAATCTCCAGAAGAAATTAAGGCTGTTCATGTCAGCGGTTATACCTTTCAGTCTAGTCTAAAAGGCGTAGGTCTTAGAAAAGCTGCTTCTCTGTTCATGTTCTCTCATTCCGACATGAAATAAAACTGACTCCATTACCGAGGGGGACAACCAGCATTTTATCAGTTCCCAGTTCATGGCAGCCTTATGCTTGGGGGTTCCTGCAAGCCCATGACCATCACAACCGATTTTCTTTAATCTGAAGGCTCACTTTGTTTTTTTTGTCCTTTCCTCGATAAAGTAAAAACACCTCTGTAGAGCATTTACTCCTAAAATTGGATTTATTGCGGATATTTGAATGTGCAGGTCTTTATATTGTGTTATGAATAGCTGTTCTGAGCATCCAATTACTTCTATAACATCAACCTTTTTATTAATCAAAGATAGCATATCAGCTGAACTTCATGATCATCATGAATTAGAGTTTAACAGGTTTGACTTTTTAAGGTAAATAACAATAACTAAGGATTATTTATCAAAGGAATTGAACCATTGGATGTAAACTATAATATTAGCAGTTTATTAATGATCAAACTCTTTAAATGTAATGTCCTGCTGCTGCTCTGGGAACAAGGCACCTAAATGTGACAAAGTGAAACTGACATGTTCTGTCTGTGGTTGCTAAAATATATTTCTTTTAACTTGACCCTCTGCAGGTAATGATCAACTCATTTTTAGGCTTTAAGAAAGG